AGCATGACTTTCGAACGGACGAAGATATCGCGTTAATTCACCCTGAGAGAAAGAAAAAAACTTAACTTGTCTGAACTCACACCACAGGCAGCCCAAGCCCCAGCTGTGAGATGATCATCTTGCGAAATAAGATTCATGGTGATTTTTTCGGATTTTTTCGGATTTTCTTTATCTGGCGGTGACATACCTGAGTATTTTTAGGAGCTGTGCCGTATTTTGACTTCCCCCACAGGCTCGTCAAATTCAAACAAGGAGTGAAAATACTAGGCAATACTACACACCAATGAATAGTCTACTAGGTTATTTATGATCCAACTGCTTTTTTTTCCGCCAAGTCTTTCTGCTCATTTCTCATAAGGCGGGAAAAGCAAAGTGGATAGAGAAGCGCAGCGTGCGCAGCCGACCGGTTAAATAGATTTTTTACAGAACAAAATAACCAAATGTACACATGTGCTATATACATATACTCAAGGAGGAGGGAATATTCACAATAAACCATGTTGATCATGGCCAAGAACAACGATTTAGCTACCAGATCAAAGCACAAATAGTAACATGTAATTGGAGGGTTTATTATCCCTGGTCGGGACTGAAATGTTGACCGAAAGAAACGTCTCGTCCCTGCTTTCACTATTTCCTGTAGCTTCCCGTGACAGATCGATGACGTGCACTTTTCGGGAAGGAAATCACACGCAGTTAGTGCAACTTTCATGCACGTAACAGAAGGCCGTGGACATTTTAGCAGTTTGTCATACATCGTGTATTCTTTGTTTAGCCCATAGGTAAGCATGATTGTATGAAGAGGATAAATTCGCGTAGTTCAGGGGCATTAGTTCGAGGTCAAAGAGGAGATGGACGCCATATTTACTATTTCGGTGATGAAGTGTAATCGCAGATTACACCGCTCAAAACAATTCGGATTAAAACGTCAAGGTACAGAAACTAGCGGCAAAGGAGAGACGTAAAGCCAGAGTAGTTCTTTTATTAAAAGAAAAATTCGAATCAGTTAGAATCTTGCCTGAAAATGAGAAGATCTGAAAAAGGCGATCAGTCATCTCGCGTCAAAACAAGATGCCATTAAGCCGTCGTATAGTTAACTATTCCGCAAATGCAATCTTCTCAAGGAGAACATTAACCAGGGAAGCAAAACACAATGTCTGCGCATAAATTAGCTATTTCCCCTGGCTTTGCGCATATACTTTTTGCGACCTAGTTATCAGTGGGCTCTTTCTTGTTGAGCCGTTAAACGTACATTTTCAGCGGTTTCAAATTGAAAATGCCAATCTGACATGCGCGAACTAAATTTCCACTGGCGGGCGTTTTGAAACAGCCGTGCACCAGCCGAAATGCGTGCATCTTTCAAACTCAATTTGTTTGTTTTCTACAACGTTTAAAGACGTTCACCTAAAATGGATCTATATTTCAAGTGTGGTTTTTTATTTTTATTTTTCATGTCAATAGGTCACCATTGTGTCTTTAGAGCCCAAATTTTTTGCAGGAAAAATTCGTCCCCAGATGCAACATTCAAACATTTATATATATCATTTGAAAAACGAAAAGAAATAAAAGCAATTCCTGAGGAACTGGGAACAATTATTTACAAGTTTATACTAAGGATCAGTAGCTGTTTATATTTGCTGACATTATTTTTACTGTCTAAATCACCTCTGAGCTGACCAGGTTCAGAATAATTTTCACATTTGTGAGAAAGAGGGTTAGTCATCGTATAAATAGAAATGAGTTTTCCAAATGCAAATCACTCAAATATAACGCGTAAACTTTCGCAACTGCGACCGATGTTTATAAATTGTTAACGAATATTGTTGTCTAAAGAATTTTCATAACGTGTTTAATTTCCTCTAAAAGGTGCCACCTGTTGTTTCTCTATATTCCATTGTATAAAGAGTTAAGATACATCTTAACTAGTGCAGTACTTGAACAAGTCACTAAAAACCGAGCTCCGGTTTTAAAGGAGAACCCGAGAAACGAAAACAATCAACAATTAAGTAGACGCGAAAGCATTAGCGCTGCTGCGTGTTTTGCCCGTTTCCTTGTCAATCGGGTCATTATTTTCTGCAAAAGTGACTTTAAAATGCAAACACATGCGCACTACCTTCGTGATGGCATAGTTGTACTGAGGATGAGGGTGGACATTCACAACTGTGTAGCTGTGTCTTGTTGTGGGTATTGCTCAGCTTCTTGATTTCTTTGAATAGCCGGCAAAATGGGAGTAAAATTTATTATCTAAAGTAAACGTGAATTTTCATTATTCAGAGTTAATAATGATGTCCGTGAATGATTTATTTCAGACTATTTGGGTTCAACCCAAGAATTCAAGACATGCTTCCTGCCTTTAATTAAGAGTTTGAAACTTGAAGCCGTTATCAACTCTCGATCTCTGTATCTGCACGTCAGATGAGTTATGACTGCGCTGGAAAATGCTGTGTTTTCTTTAAACGACGGAGAGGTGTTCATTAAGCATTTAGTTAGCCTGGGAGAAAGACATAGAACATGGCCCGTGAGGCTGAAACATTTCGATGTATGTATTCTATCATGCCGACCAAGGCTACTTAGGGGTACATATATTTGTATAGCGCTGTGTAGTAATGTAAACTACAGAAGAGGGAAGTCTAGTGCTATCTAGGGGTACACATTGTTGTATAGTGCTGTATTATGATGTAAACTTCAGAAGAAGGAAGTATAGTGCTATCTAGGGGTACATAATGTTGTAAAGCGCTGTATAATGGTGTAGGCTGCAATAGCGGGAAGCATAGTGCTATCTAGGGGTACACATTGTTGTTTATTATCCACCAAATATTTTTGTTCGTGCACGATTGGTCTAAACGTAGCAAGTGATTGAATATCTCCCAGTTAAAACGAGGTGATACCCCCGGCCCGAGAATATCACCCAAGTGATATTCCTCAGTTTGCAAGCCTTACGTCCGCTACAAAAAGTCTTCGTTTCAAAATTTAAACTTAATTCAATTCAGTGGCTGTTCATAAACATTTTTGCACAAGCGTTGCAAAATAATTGAAGGATAATAAACAAAATAGCCTCTATTTTGCTTGAAAATATGTGCAAATATTTTTCCTTGGACATCCGCAGTTTCCGCATCTTGGAACAGGTTATGTCCGCGAACAAAAATCAGCACTTATTTTCGCGCCAAATTAGGGCAATAGTTTATAAAGCACTGGATGGTCATATGAAATTCAGGAAAGGGAAACATTATGCTAATCTAGGGGTACATATTGTTGTGAAGCGCTTTATGGTTACACAAACTGCAGTTTACAGATGTTCAATGTATTGAGGAATGTTTAGTACGGTATGGTGCTGTTTGTAGATTTAAATTGCAGTTTACGGATTAATATAATGCTACTCAGGGGTATAATGTTGCTTTGTGCTGTCTAATGATAAAAGTTGCCGCAGAGGGAAGTATCGTGCTACTGAAGGGAGGAGGGAGAGGGGCATATAGACGTGCGAATTCAAGTAGTTTATTCAACGATGTAAGGAGACATGGAGTCGACTAATGGACGGAACATGTTCTCAAGTTGTTATCGACTACCCCCGAGGAAGTATGGTAATTACTTATCCTTTCTTAATTATTGCATGTCAAAACTCTTTTCCAGGGTCTTCTCTGCGTCTACATCCAAGAGGGCGGCTACCGACTCCGTGGAATCTGTGGATTGATCTACCACCATCTTGGATTCGCGATGTAGATTGATCCTAGGCGAGAGTTCGACCCATTCTCAATCAGACGATAGAAGAAGCTTTAATTTGTATATTGAAGGACTCGTTTTCAACAAAATGCACCGATTATGTAACCGAGACTTGGAGTTCTTTCGCTCCATTACTGCTACTGTGATGAGAGGACTGAAGAGAGCAAATACTGGCACGTGAGACTTAAAACTGAGAGACCCTGTGGACTGGGAATCAGTCGAAAGGAAAACTGAGATTTTACTAGAGATGACGTGAAGAGGACACCATTCCAAAGTAGACAAAATAAGCATGAGAACTTTTACTTTGGGGGAGTAAGGAGGGATATGAGTTGTAAGAAGCCTGAGGTTGCGCGAGGATTGAGACGAATGAAAACTGAAACAGACAAGGAGATAGTCGCGATTAATGAAGCCAACAGAAGAACAAAGTTGAGGGCGATGAAAGAAGTGCGCTAAAAGTTGGGAATTGTAGTACGTTGAAAAAAAGGGAAGGAACGAAAGGAAGGAGAAAAAAGGGATGCGCAAATACTTAAAGTTGTAAAACCTGTGGGTGGAAAAAAGGTAAAAAAGGCGTACACAGTATCAACACGTCCGTCGGCGTTCAAAACCTTGTGACAATATGGAGAACGATAAATAGTGGAACACACACGATCGAGGAGACGACGAGCGTTTCCTAAGTGGGTGGGGGCTTGAAACATGGAGCGTTAGTACACTATCAGCTGCACAGATCATCAACTTGGCGGGATAAGATCTGTTCTCTCTGCATCTCACGTGGATCTTTAGAATACGGAGACAGACAATGAAAATCAACGCAGCTTTTGAATTTAATATACTGTATATTTCTCTTACACAAAGAAGAAAAAAAATAAGTACAATAGAAACTGCATTAAATTTTCCAAGGCTTTAAGTAAAATACGCGCTAAACGGAGACATTAGAATGAACCCATTTACTCCCAAGACTGATCGTAATTTAAATTCTCCTCACAAACCTAATACACGGACAAACATGGTGTCAATAAGAATTACAGAAAATCTAAACTGGAGGATAATTTTTTGCTAGAAAGGTAATGTTACATCGAATTCTCGGAATGAAGCAACAAAGAAACACGTTCTTTTCAGTTGGGAGAATTTTCTTCAGAACTTGGGAGTTCATGAGTAAATTAAAACAAGGTAAATGAAGAATTATCTTCAACTGTAAATAAAAACACTTCATACGAAATACACTGACATTACACAAAGCATATTTAGTTAAATATGTTAAAATCTAACAAAGATATTATCAGAAATATTCAAATTAGACTAAGGTAAATTGAAAGTAATGCAAAAAATTTGAAAAGGGAATTTTCAGAAATCGAAAGTTTTATCCTGAAGCCCTGAACCTTTTCAACTACGGACTTCATTTACATTTGTTCATAAACCTTTTCACCAAAATATTTCCCATTAAGGACTACATGGCTTACTTCAACTGCTTCGCTGATTAATTGGCGTAAATATTTTCCTCCTTGAAACAAAAAATTCCATGTCAAATAAATTAAAAGTCACAACTATGGAACTTCAGTTAGATTGAACTCTGCTTCGCTGTTTCCTTGTTATGGTCACATGGACAATTTTTAACCTTTATGTCTATGAAATAGTATCTATTCATTTCTTCACCAAGGTAGAGTTACACATCTCAAGTTCCATTTAACGAAAAAGTCAAAAGTGATGAAAAATAGCCAAAACTTGCCGAAATAGAGAAACATTTAAACCATTCAAGTTTTTGTGTCATTTTTTTTTAGATGAAAACAAAAATCAATTTTTTATTTGTGTAATTTTACATTCAAATTTTCTCTTTCCTTTGTCATGAAGTCAAGAGTGACGTCATCTCCAATCAGTAAAAAGGGCGCCCAGTATTTGACGTCGCAGAACTTGTCTGATTCTCTGAGGCTTTTCATGGCTAGGTTCAGTGACTCGCCTGCAGGTTTACCTTCTGCGAGGTGTTGATAAAAGCATTTCATAAACTCAAGAGTAGCCTCGTCATCAATCGCCCACAGGGACACCACAACAGACCGCGCACCAGCCCCCATAAAAGCGCGCGCAATGCCAACCACACCTTCAGCCTTGATCTCGCCCCGACCACTGTGGGAACAACTAAGCACAACAAGCTTGGCGCGAACTTGAACATTCATCACATCTTCAATTGTTAAAACGTAATCTTTCTCCGTTGGAAAACTGAATATTCGGTCTGGATCAGGTGCAAGAGCAACTTCGCCAGTTTCCATACATCCGTGTGCCGCAAAGTGAACTAAGGAGACGGAACCGAGTCTATTCAACACCTCACGTTTCGTAGCCTGTCTGCCAGTGATTGGCGTGATATTCAGAATTTTTCCTATCATTTCTACTTCTTCTTTAGCAGACGGAAGCTGCTCGAGGATTTTCACTCCCACGCTGTTAGTAACCTCGGATACCCACGGATCTCCTACAAGTAACGCACCACTGCTTTTGTGATAATCATCTGGGCAATTGGCAATGAGTCTAAGACTTGTTAACGATGGAGCGAGACGAATTCTGAACGATTCACACAGGTATTTAGAATTACCATCCTTAAATGCAGCGTAAGGAGCGAGCCACAGGGGTCCATCGGGAATAATGAGTAGCTCCTTACCTTGAACCAGGTCAGCCACCGGCTTTATAATGGTATCAAACAAAGTACTCAAGCATTCGTTTTGTTGAATGGAAGGGTGAGGGTTGTCTTCTTCCAAAGATCGATTCTCGCATCTCACATTAAAACAAACACCAAGTTGTGTGTAGACTCCAAGCATGAGTGACTCAAAAATCTGGCTAGCTCCACTATTCTCTGAAACAGCACGATTGAGTTTACTTTGTCTTAACTGAACTTGTTTTCCTTTGGACACAACCCAAAGATAGACGCCGCCTTTGTCCACTGCCTGAAAGACAGTATCTGATGGAACGTTTTTTAAAACTGCTAAATCTTCATCACCTCCCTTACGCTGACTTGTTCCACCATATAAAATGGATTCCATAAGGTCAGTCAGAGCTTGAGCTCGTCCTTTCTCAGCAACAAATAAGGCTTCATCTATATTACCTTGTTCTACGAGAACTCTCCACAAACCCGTATACGCCATTTGATACTGATTTCGAAAATTAACTTTCCACTCATCTTTAGATTTTAGAAGTACTCTCAAGGAATTGAATAAGTTTATGCTAGCTTGGTAATGTTCAACGGCTTTTGGCAGTTCACCCTGCGACTCAAAAACGCGTCCTAATGAGAAGTAGGCCATTGCCTCCAAGAGTTTGTCTTCGACCTCTTTGGCAATTTTGAGCAATAGGCTGAATAACTCATTGGCCTTGGCCAAATTTCCCAGCGTTTGATATACATTGCCAAGACTACCATAAGCTTTACCCTCACCATGCTTGTCTCCTACTTCTTTAGCTATTATAAGATGTAGGTTGTGGTACTCTATGGCTTTTTTAAAATCACCCAGACTGTGATAAGCAGTGCCAAGATTGCCATAAGCGTTACCCTCCCCATGCTTGTCTCCTACTTCTTTAGCTATTTTAAGATGTAGCATGTGGTACTCTATGGCTTTTTTAAAATCACTAAGACTCCGATAAGCAATGCCAAGACTACCATAAGCTTTACCTTCCTCATGCTTGTCTCCTATATCTTTAGCGATTTTAAGATGTAGGTTGTGGTACTCTATGGCTCTCTCGAAGTCACTTAGACTGTAAAAAGCATTGCCAAGATTGCCAAAAGCACCACCCTCCCCATGCTTGTCTCCTACTTCTTTAGCTATTTTAAGATGTAGGTTGTGGTACTCTATGGCTTTGTCTAAATTACCCAGACTCTGATAAGCATTACCAAGACTACCATAAGCTTTACCCTTCCCATGCCTATCTCCTACTTCTATAGCTATTTTAAGAGCTAGGTTGTGATACTCTACAGCTTTTTTGAAATCACCCAGACTGTCATAAGCATTGCCAAGATTACCATAAGCTTTACCCTCCCCATGCTTGTCTCCTACTTCTTTAGCTAATTCAAGATGAAGGTTGTGGTGCTCTATGGCTCTTTTGAAGTCACCCTGACTCCGATACACAGTGCCAAGATCGCAGTAAGCACCGCACACCCCATGCTTGTCTCCTACTTCTTGAGCTATTTTAAGATGTAGTTTGTGGCACTCTATGGCTTTTTTGAAATCACTCAGACTGTCATAAGCATTGCCAAGATTGCCATAAGCGTTACCCTCCCCCTGTTTGTCTCTTACTTCTTTAGCTATTTCAAGATGCAGGTTGTGGTACTCTATGGCTTTTTTGAAATCACCCAGACAGTCATAAGCATTGCCAAGATTCCCATAAGCATTACCCTCCCCATGCTTGTCTCCTACTTCTTGAGTTATTTTAAGATGTTGGTTGTGGTAGTTTATGGCCTTTATAATATCACCTAGATTCCGATACACCTTCCCAAGATTGCTATAGGCTTTACCCTCCCATTGCTTGTTTCCTAGTTCTTTAGCTATTTTAAGATAACGGTTGTTGTACTCTATGGAATTTTTTAAATCACCCACACTGTCATAAGCATTGCCATGATTCCCAGAAGCTCCACTCTCCTCATGCTTGCCTCCCCATGCTTTTTTGACATCACCTGAACTTGCACTATCACGGTCAGAGCTAATATGATCTTTTTCTTCCATAGAATTATCTCCCACTTCTCTGACAGACTGAAGTCTAGATGACAACAAGATCCTACAATTTTTGTCAATCTTTGTTATGTTAAGGTTTAAAAATGTGGAAAAAATGAAAAAAAATATTATTTCTGTAATCACATTGGTATGTAATAGGCCATTTCTGCAGTTGCATGCTTGGTTGCCAAGTCTTTGAACAGCAGTGTGGCTAAGGGTGACCTTGTTATAATACAGACATTGCTGCTTTTCACAAGCAAATTACTTTGTTAATTTACACCCACTAGATACTGGTCTCTATCACAACAAGGTCACCTTCAGAGTCACTCCAAATCAAAGGCTTGGCAACTAAGTACACAACTGTAAAATGGCCTGATTGGAAATATATGAAAATCATATATGTGCACTGCGGTGAAGAAATGGATGTAAGTGATCCTCGCGAGCACTACTGAATGAGTAGTTAAAATAAGACCTAAAAAAAATTCAGGCCCATACAGGATTTGCACCCATTATTGAGAGGGCAACTGTGGGAAACTATAACAACGAGGCAAAACTCAATGCACTTCCTCAAAGAAACATGTGTTTGGAACAAGTGTGATTTATTGTATGGTGATGTGATTTTATCTTGAACTCACACTTTTATTGGTGTGATGACACATGAGATCACTCTTTGTAAAAAATCACCAGTGATTCACACTTTTTTCACACATCATCACACTTCTTTTAAAAGTGTGATTTCAAGTGTGATTCAAAGCGTGAATTACACTTCTTATAAAAAAAATCACACGTGATCACACTTTTAAATCACACATGAGATCACATGTGATCATGCAATTACAATTGGTATTAACTTTCACACATTTTTAGTCACACACACTTTAAGTATGAGCTGACAAGTTCCCATCATAATTAATACTCTTCTTTGTACTTTCCCCCTTAAAACTTCAAATTATGGAAATTATACAAAATTCAAATTATTTCCATTATACCCACGGTTAAAAATGACAAAAATTTCCTTCAAAGGATACAGCTAATCCCTTATCACACCAAGTGATTGCTTCTTCAAATCTCTTCAGTTCAACACAGGCAGTGGCTCCTGTAGGCAACAACACAAATGGGCATATAATTACTGTAGCTCAATTCCAACAAAAGAACCAGAAACCTGACTGAAAGCTAAATCATTACAGACCAGGAAAAACAAAAAAAAACCAAAAAACTAAAGAAAAAGGAAAAGAATAAACAGGCCCTATTAAGTTTTAGTTAGATTAGGTTGGATAATTGAAACTTCTAAGAACAATTAAATTGGGACTGACAATTCTCATAAAATCACTCTGAGATACAGATAGAATATAAGACATGTAACATGAAAACAGAAAAATGGTACATTTTTTAGTTGATCTTTTTAGAACTAGGTGAATACAAAGTAAAAACTTTTATTTGGTATTAATACTAGTTTCCCTTTAGTCTGAGTTAACATATTTGATTTACTCAATCAGTTGATAATTGATTCCTAGCAAGTGACTCAAACTAAGGTTTTAAGCTCACCAAGAATAAGATTTACTCATGCTATCTCTTTAGTTACATTATTGTTACATGTATCATAGCACTTGGAGTTGAGTTATACTTACTGAATGAGGAAAGTTTCCTTACAATTTTGAGTTAAGTTAATGAAGTCCTTCCTTCTTTTCAAAACAGCTAGGTAGTGACTAAACATATCTGACACCACTACCTCATTCACTGAGCAAAAGGAAATTACAATACTCATGCTAAAATTTTGCTCTGCATTCAGCATCAAGTTCTTCATCCAACTCAAAATGATATTCTTATCATAATGGAAAGTCATGACACAGTAGCCAAGAGCTGGATTCAAATGTACATCAGAGTGGTCTTGACCACTCAATTTTAATTTAACTTTAAAAAGTCAATGAGACAAGATTTAACTTCATCTTTCTTTAGAGTGAAACGTTTGTTATTATTATTATCATTATTATAATTATTATAGCACAGCTAACATATCTAACCTCTTAAAATTGCCTCAAGGAAAGTTGGATTTAACTCAATGGCTGCTTCTGCATCCCTTAGTGAATCCTGGTGATTTCCTGTTTTTAAAATAAATATCCCTGATTAGATGTACATATAGCAAACCCACCACCCTTACATTAATTTTAGGCAAATCGTGTGATCCTTATTGATATCTGGGGTAAGGGGTTACTTCTTTGTATGTTTGAGAGGCCAAGATAAGACAGATATATTTTTCCATAGAATTTCTTTTTTGGCATACATTCAAAATTATCACCTTTTTCAGAAAACTACTTCTGACAGCCCTTAGCTTCAAAAGAGGAAAAAATGCATATTGAAGTCTTCATCATCTTACCAAGTTTAAAATGTGCCATAGCCCTGTTGTTGTACAGTTTGGCCTTCAGTTCTTTCTCATTGCAGTTCACTTTAATTCCTTTGGTGTAAAAATGAATAGCATTGATGAAATCTCCGTTCTTGGAGGCCTCATTACCCTCATTCCTATAAACATCAGCTATGGCTGCAAAGAAAATAATAAAATAATTTGTGTCAAAGTCTGTGGTTGTAGTTAATCAGTGTATAAGCAGAGCTGCCAAGATCTGGAGATTCAAAATCTGTCTGACTCTACCCATCCCCTGAAAACCTTAGATGACATCTGCAGCCCCCCCCTCCCCCTCACAGGACAAACCTTACTTAGTTCATTTGTAAGAGACTTTTTTTGGTTGAAAGCTGAACCAATGAGAGTCAGTTGCTGCTGTGGGTAATGGTTAAGAAGAAAGTGTAATCCCTCTCTGAGACAATCTAAGTGCAATCAAGAAAATTGAGGTAAGAACCTTAAGATAACCATAATAACATTAAATATGGAAAATCTGGAGTTGAAATGTTATGTTTTTTATGAGGAACTGAACCAAATTCTCTTTTATCTTGAAGATTTGATGACCCATATGGGAGACCCACTGTCTTGTTCTGTCTCTCTGAGACTCCCTGAGAGAGTCAGAGAATCAGAGAGAGTCTGCATAATTATAGGCATAAAAGAGCCTACTGCTTTGATTACATTTAGATGGTTAATGAGTCAATAGCATCCAAATGTTGCAATCATAAAATCCAGAAACAACATCACTTATAGACAAATAGTTATAGTATAAATGATAAGAATAATGATAAAGATGAGATTAATAGTTGTGATGAGGCTGATGATATGGGTAACAATGGTGATGGTGAGAATTAAACATCCATCAATTTGAAGCAAACCCCTGGGCATTTGAACTTTTGGAGATTTGTTTCAAATGCTCCTTTTTCCCTCAAAAATTATGATGAAATGCCCCACCTAATTTCTATGTAAAAGGAAAAATTAGCAACTATGACTTTCAACACATGTAAGCTTTAAAACCAAGACAAGACCTTGTAGACTTTTTTCTGCTAGCAAGTCTTGAAACTTCTGGTTCGAATTCCCCAATGCCAGTCAGGCAAGGTTCAATTTCCCCCTTCTATCCCCCTCCCCACCCCCCTTTAGCTTGGATGATGATCAAATCCCTATTGATTGTTGCTTGAGGAGAAGGGAGAGGATGTTGAAGCTTTCAAATTGATTGTTGCATTATAATGGATAGATGATGATGGTGGTACTTTATGATGCAAACTTACAAAATTGATGTTATATAATTATAAAAAGTTCAGAGAAACGTGTGTGCCATGATTGGTCAGAATAAGTTCATTGTATCTCCACAAAACAAGTGCCTTACATCACACAAGTGCACTGTTGAGATATAATGCATGCAGCCTATGTCATCGGTATGGGTGCCTGCAATACACAGTACATTTTATAAAAGAAATTAAAAGACTTCTTCCTCAAGCATTGTTGAGTTATATAAGCACTTGCAAATTTTTAAGAACACTCAAGAAGTGCAAGAAGCACTTGCCTTCTGCTTGTGCCCCTCCTCACTTCTCTCGTGTTCTTAAAAATTCCCGCATGCTTAATAACTCAACAACGCACTTGGCACCTTTTTATTTCTTTAATAAAGTCTTTACTTATCATAACTTTGTGTACTTGCTTTGAACTTTTAGAAAAGAAAATAACAAAGGTTTCTGTGTCATAGATCTTCTCAATGAGCAGCATATTGTAATCATAGAAGAGAGTCATGACTGGCCAAAATATAATTTAAAGTGGTCATAGTGTACATTATCCTTCTCCACACCTGGAGTCTGCTTACATTCTAGAAACTTGTGGAATAGAAATTATTCTAAAAATAACAGAAGCTGAAGTTGAACCTAGCTCACCTCGTAAAGTGTCCTCATCAAAATCTGGAGCATTTTCTTGGTCAGGCAAGTCTTCAGTTTCGTATAGAACTTTAACTGGACTTCCTCCTGTAGCCATAGCAACTGTAAGAAGGTGCTTCTTACAAATAGTTAGTGTTTTAAGTTATCCTGGCCTGAAAAAACAATGGTTACAAACGGTACTAAACATCAACTCAACATATTACCCAGTTGCAAAATAAATATTTTTCCCTTCTGAGAATGGGAGGATCATAACATAGACAAAAAAATCACAAGCAATTAATATTAATGGGCATACTAAAAGCAGCAAAAGAATAAAAGATGTATATACTAAATGAAACAAGCATTAATATTTAAATGAGCAGCAATTCATTTCTCACTATGATAAATTTGAAGATTTACAAAAGACAGTACTAATTGACAGAGATAAATTGGGAAAAAAATCAACATTTGTGTTTTGCACTACATCAAGGTAAATGCCAGGTATTACCTGCGAATTTTTGCGAATTCGTCACCTGTAACTTGTTCAAACAAGCTCAGCTTAATAAGCTTATTGATAACACGAAGCGGAAATACAATTAATACACGCCAGAATAAAGTAAAAGTTAGCAATCCTCGTCAGTTTACTGCAGGAAAATCTTTCATTGCCGAAAATCAGAGAAAATTAGGACAGATGAAGGACATTTGAAGGAGAAAATGTTAGCTGAGAAACTCGAAATATAAGCATTTACCTTATATTAAAAAATCTGGTACAAACATGCGTTCATACCTCTGTCGAGGAAATGGAAGCCACATTTGACTGTTTTACGACCTTGCTTCCTCAATCCGTCATGGCAATGTTTCGAAGAAAGCCACTAAGACTGAGAAACTACCAAGAAAGACTTGGAAACTACGTTAGAGAACGAAACATCTCAGTAGTGTGTTGCAAAAACGAAAGGGGAAGTCCCCTAGCCCATAAGTCTGTGCGAGCTTGAATCCGGAAGTGCTTCAGCTGTAATTGAAAGAAGAGCCTATAAATATATTTATGTATGTAAACACATATTTTATGTGTTTGTATACATAAAATTATATATTTTTTCTGCGCTTCTCGCGTTCTTCTAAGGTCCACTACATTATTACATCTCACTTTTGCATGTTCTCACTGGCACTCTTAGTATAACGCATGAGGGGTAAGTCTTGCTAGTATTAGAAACAAATCCCTCTCGGAATATATTAAAGTAAAATTTTGCTGTAGCGTGATTATGAACTTTTATTTATCTTAATCTCATTTTGTGAATACATACCCTTTAGAGGACTTCAGAGTCCGGAGGGTTTGTGGCACTACATAGGTTCTGGAGATACGTTTCCAGTTGAAATATTTCCTGAAAGATTTTTTGGATTTTCTTTATCTGGCGGTGACATACCTGAATATTTTTCTGAGTTGTGCCATATTTTGACTCACCCTACGGGCTCATCATAATACAAACAACAAGTGAAAATACAAAGCAATACTACACACCAAAAAGTCTGATATGTTAATTATTATCTGACAGTTTTATTTTCCTGCTAAGTCTTTCTGCTCATTTCTCAAAGGCGGGGAAAGCAAAGCGGATAGAGAGGCGCAGCGTGCGCAACCGACCGGTTAAACAGATTTTTTAACAGAACAAAATAACCAACTACACAATATCAGAGTATTCATGTGGTATATGTTCGCGTTCTTTGAACTTTACTTTGTACAGTTGGATTTTAAACCAAATTATCTTTAATCAACAAATTCTAACTTGTTGATTTTTAGATAAATTCTCCTTGTCAGCACCATAGGAAATGTATAACGAGCAGTATGGAGAAATTGCATACTGATGATGTGATTAACATGTAACTTCTTCCTATAATATCCATACATTATCCAGGAAACAGGTAGTGGGAATACTCAGATTTATCAGGTACAAGATATTATCTTGAACACCAAATTCTCATAACCAATTTACAGGGAAATATTTAGCAGCAGGTGGAGAGAATTAACAATCAGATCTTGGGAGTTTAAGGGTTAATGGCATTTAATCTAATAAACTCCATGATTCACTGATCCCTTTGACATAGACAAAAAATAATGTAAGAACCACTTATCACATTTATTTGAAAGCGCTTTATTACTTTTTCAATATAGAAGGGGTAACATTTAGGTTGAACGCACAACTGATGTAAGACTTCGCTACGTATGCGCCGTAACTACTGTATCATAACCGCTTCGTAGCACTTGGTGGTGAACGTTCAATTTGATGCAAAAAAAGATAACTAGCAAGCCCTACGATAATATGTTCATTCTGCTTTTTAATCAAAATAATTTAATTATTGGGGCTCTGAAACGCAAATACTACAAGTGTCCATTTCCGTGTTGGCTCATAAAAAAATATTCCCACACAACTTGGGCAAAAGTTAGTGTATTAAAACGAAGTCCTGGCTTCAGTAAGAGTGAAGTCCTCAAAGCAGTACTTTCTTTGCGTAGCCCAGAACTAACAGTAACCGCTTTAAACACTGAGCCTTTTGAAATTGGATGAAAGAGACAGGTAACTCGTGAAAGGACGTCTTCAAAACTTTTGGGCAAGATGAAGGCTTTTTTTCAGCATCTAGTGGCTAGACAACCCTGGAAATTCCATTGCTCGTCCAAAATCACTTGGGGTCATTCATCTGAAAAATTGAAGTTAAAAAAGTAACTTTTGACGGGGTGATGTTGTGAGTAGAAATTAGATGAAAGTCGCACTTAGGATTCAAAGGGTTACATCAATAAGGAGATTATAGAAACGGATTTACCTCGTCAATATCTTTATCAGAGTCTACAGAGTCAGGCGTTTCCTAAAAACAACAACAAAAGCATGTTCCTGAGATTTTAATATTTACACTCCTCCATTCTTTCAGGATTCTCTCATAGTTCAGTGCCACAAATTTATACTCCTAGTTAGAGGAAGGCATACTGAGAAGTGAAGTGCCTAACCTAGGAGCAAAACGATCTGATCAGGAAAAAAAGTATGCTACTTCAAACTGAGCGCAAGGCAGCTAGCGGTTTTTATTCGCGTTCATCAATCTATGAGTTCCTTCTTTTAATATATTTGTTGCTTACCCTCTCAAACTCCTGAATATCGGCTCCTTCTTCGTCACTTGAAAAGTCATCCACATCAATTTCAGTCTAGTGACAAAAACATCTGGGTTAGAGAAATTCAGTTTTGAAGCCCTAAATCTTTAAGACCACCATGTTTGTTAGACTAGTGTGACCACCATGGCGAGGTTAGACTAGTGTGACCACCATGGCGAGGTTAGACCAGTGTGACCGCCATGGTGAGGTTAGACTAGTGTGACCACCATGGTGAGGTTAGACTAGTGTGACCGCCATGGTGAGGTTAGACTAGTGTGACCACCATGGTGAGGTTAGACTAGTGTGACCACCATGGCGAGGTTAGACTAGTGTGACCACCATGGCGAGGTTAGACTAGTGTGACCACCATGGCGAGGTTAGACTAGTGTGACCACCATGGCGAGGTTAGACTAGTGTGACCGCCATGGTGAGGTTAGACTAGTGTGACCGCCATGGTGAGGTTAGACTAGTGTGACCACCACGGGATCCTTCAAACGGACAGAAAAAACGAAATCAGAAAGTTCCTTTGCGAATTCGATATGACGAGCACCTCAAGAGAGTCCAGTACACAAAATGTAATCTTTTACCTGGGTGGCTGACGCTGTTTGATTATATTCACTGGAAGGTAATCTCTCAGAATATTTGATCATAATATGATTATACATCTCATGGAAATGTGCATTCATCTCCATTCCTTCTTCAACCACCTCATTGTACACTGCCTTGATAGCGTCCGAGTCACGGTGGAAGTCTAGAATAAGATAGGCACGCAACGCGTCTTTAGTGAACATGCAGAGCGGGGCTTGTTTAAAAATACCTTTTCCTAGATTCATGACTCCCACAAGAAGCGCATGAAACGATTTTTGGCTGAAATTAATAACGAGAGATTTTTGCATTTAAAACAGCCCTAAATGTTTAGCAAGCTGTACAGCAGCACAAATCCTCCTCAATTTACCAATCACAGTGCCTAGAGTTCCTAAGAGCGGATTTAATAGGCTGTCTTTTTTGTTACCTGTTGAGATGTTGACCATCAAATTTGACGGCCAGGAATTTCAGAGGGGGACACCGTTGAGCCTGGTTTACACTCTTGCGAGAAACACTTTTTGGGCAATGCTTATCACTTCTTTAAATGAAACTGTTTCACAAGCTAAAGGTCACTTTCCTCGAAGTTTATAATTGATATATCCTTTTCGCATGTATTAAATTGACCTCCATCTCCTTACCAAACAAACTATGAAAAATATAATTTAACCCTTTACTCCCCCAGGTGACCAAGACAGAATTTCTCCTAACAACATCGATACAATATCAGGCAGGTAGGTATGAGAATAAAGAAAAATATCAATTATGGGATTATTACTTGATCCAATATCAAATTCCCCAAACTAACATCATAAAAATTGTATGTTAGACAGTAAATAACATTACTAATAAGATCTTGGGAGTGAAAGGGTTAATACCAAAATAAAAACTGTTCCATGAGCCACATAAAAGGCAACTGGAAACTCGACTAATCCTTCCACTGCCTAGGTATGAGGCTCAAAAAATAACCATACATGTCATTTTTGCTGACCATCAAACACTTTGCGTTAAGTCAGGGCCATACCTCCTAGTTAGATTTTTTTAAAAATTCTCATAACTGGTTTGCCAGACATTGTTTAAAATTGTACGGGAAATTCATTTAGTGAACACTAATAGAAATCAATGTTCTTTTCACTCACCATGAGCCCTTATCAGATGAAAATACATCTCTTTGGGGCTGACGTTGTTTTCCTTCAAAAATTCTATGGCGTTCAACAGAGCTTGCACCTAACAAATCAGATCATTAAAACGACAGAACTTCTGTTGACTTCAGAACATCAAGTACAATGCCAGCACAACGGTTAAAATCCTCTGGGTTTGGTTGTTCGAAGGCTGATTAGCGATAACTCAGGGTTAAATTTAAGTCCAAGTTTCTTTATTTCTTAGTTTAAAAACCTTTTTGAGAAATTTTTCTCTACTCTTTTGAGAACATTCAGTCATCAAATTGTAAGAAAAAAGATTTGGATCAATATCAGTATCTGGGCAACTGCCCACCTACCCCTCCCCTGACCCAACATTAACCTTAACTTGTTATCAATTGATTATTGTTGGGTTAGGGGAGGAGTCGGTGGTAAATTGCCCAGATACTGACATTGATCCAAAGATTTAAATTGAATTTTCTTTTAAAGCTTCCAGATCTGAATCAAATTTCACACTAACCCTGGGTTATCTTAACCCAGCTTTGAACGACCCGGCCCTGAACAATTCCCTTGAGGTAACAGTTCAACATGAGAGAAATTCTGCAGCCTTAGCACAGTCTGTCAACAGTGTGCCTATTATGATTGTTTGCCCTAAAGGAATTTGATCCAGGAAAATTTTGTGTCCCGACGTTCGGTAACCCTTTACTTTTAATCAAGTTCTACCTGTTGTTGTGGGGAGATTCAGGTGCTCTTAAAAGCTGTTATCTTGAACTTTTAAACTGAGCAGAATTAAAAAGTTTGCGCATAATTTTAAGCCGCTTCCAGCCCATGGTTTACGAACGTCTATCTTAATTGTGAGGGCATGCAGGATGTTTACCTCTCCTTTCCAGCCGGCGGATCTCGCAGGTTTCAAAAGTGTGTTTGCATTCAGGAACACATCATTTTCCTACAAAAAAAAGTAAATTCATGGGTTTGAGAGACCAAGACAGCGATGACAAGGATAAAATTGATTAAGAACTGGAGTTCTATTTCAATTTCTGCTCTGAGGTTCGCGAGGAGTTCTGCATGTTGAACGTCTCTCAAGGCCCAAGATCTTTTCATCAGCATGACGTGGAAAGGTAGCATTGTGCTTGAAATAGAAACGAGGACATTTAACAACACGCTTGATCGCGCTTGTTCTCAGACTACGCATGAGTTCGTGAATTCATTCTGCTATTTTGCAGAGGACAACTAGGAAATTGTAAAAAAAGATTAAAAGGACCTGAAAGGCTGGCGTTTTGGTGGTTAAAACGTCCATTGCCGAGCTGAGATTTTTTCGCCCAGTCCCTTTCATCTCTTTCCAACTGGGAAGAACAAGGACAGTCCTCCTACTAATACCCATCAATCTTGACCCAGAGCGTAGCCAAAGTTAAGTGGTCGATATTGATAGATCTTCTCAGAGAATGACAAAGTGAAACGAAAAACTCACCAGCATGAGTTTCAAGGCAAGATCCGTCTTTCCAGCATGCACGCAAGCAAATACTAGGCCTCTGATCATTTCTCGGGCTTCGGTGGGAATTTCAACTGCTTTCACAGAATGGTGAAGACAGTCTTCCAAAACTGAATAAATAAACAACAGTAATTTCAATAAAATTACAAAAATGTTAGTAATAATAATTATAATAATAATAATTATAATAATAATAATAAATCTTATGATAACGATAATAATAGCTTAAAAGGTTAATTTTGAATGCTCCAGTCATGGGAACTTCTTCCCATTTTCATAAGTAAGAATCCTATTGGGTCTACATATCTTGAACAGTTTAGGTTTTAGTAAATTTTTATTATATTGGTTTTAGTCTTCGTCACGGAGTTGGCTACGGCTCACGCTGTCCAACCATCGTGCTTACGACCTGGGCATCCAGATGTTTTATACTGCCATAATAATAATAACAATAATGTTCTATTAAAATCCTCCTGAAATTATCATCATCATCGTTGCTTTTCTTCCTTAGCAGCCTTGCAGATTTCCTATGACGTAACCAAGTCATTATCCTTTTAATGAAACTTCTTGTCGATCTGTATGAATAATTAGGCGCTTTACATGAAGCCATTTCTCACTCCAATACCTTCAGCAGTGGCCAGGTTACTCAGCTGTTTTGTTTGTTTGTTTGTTTTCAAAATGGCGGTACCAATAAACGAAATATTTGCTAAGTGGAAGAAAGTTTTCAAATTATGATCTGGTTATTCCTTTAACTCCCTGAACGTGAAATTCTATTCTACATTTTGTGATGGTGGAGATCAACGTTGAATAGCTAACATACCACTATCAAATTTTTCTGTTTGACCCGTTTTGGCCATGGTGTTTAACAGCCTCAGTGCACTGCCCTGTGAAACAAAAGGACCCTCTTCCTTGGCCTGTCCAAATATTTCTAATGCAGACTTGACATCACCCCTGTGGGAAGAAAAGTTCAAACACGATAGTGACCGATGCAAAATTTTCTACAAGCTACTGAAATTTAACATCTTCCTGAAATCATAAAATGAACGCCAGAAATGAAATCAAGAGCCACAGAAATAAATATAAATTTAATTTTTTTTCAGGTCACGAGTAAGTATGACACAAACAGGAGAGCAAGCACCCTTCAATGAAACAATTTTCACCTGAGTTGAAAGTTACCCAGGACTTCTTTGCTCCTACTTTGACACGCTCTGTGACTGGCCCAGAACACTGGCGCCTTTCTCAACCAATCAGATTTAAAACTAGAACCAACCATGACTTGACCACTCGCGTTTTCCCGCGCTTTTGATAATTCAACACTTTTTTCTTTGAGTTCTCATTAGCTCCTTTTGATATTTTCCTCTCTGATGGCTGTGGCGTCAACCCTTTACATCCTAAGATCAGTATGCATATTCTCCACACTGTTCTTTATACATTTCCTAAGGTGCTGACAAGGAGAATTTGTTTGCCAATCAAAAGGTTCCTTCCCTGGTGATCATTTCCTTTATTCTCATGACCTTAATATGTGATTCAGGAGTGATATTGTAGAAGAAATTAGATGCTAGTGACTCTAAGGGTTTAGAGGGTTAATCTACGTTTAGTTTTTACGACACTCCATCGGAATTTTATCTGATGCTACCAGAGTTAACTCCCAAGCTACAGTACCAGGCGTCTTAGATACGAGCCTCATCAAGCCTCCTTAACTAAACGGTATAAACACACCATTACGAAATATGCTTTAGAATTAACAAAAAAATTCCAATCTATTGTTTGACCTGCTGATCCCTTCAAGCATGTGCACTCTGCAGATACACTGCGAATGAAGGCGCATGGAAACAACCAAACAAACAAAAACTGAAGAGGCCAACACGAGCGTACTCACTTCTGGCAGAAAGAGAACATAACCGAGGAGAAGGTTTTCGGAAGTTTTCGCACTCCCTTTTCCTCCATTTCTGCCAGCACCTTCATCTGAGAATCTGTATCACCTTGGAAAAATTAAACCAGAAACCTTACAAACCAGATGAGTCATGAAGGGGTGAGTTTTTAAAGAAACTGTGGAGTTGGTTCTGTGGGGGGGAGGGGAGGGGGTATTACAAGATAATCTGCGCATGACAACTGAGTTGATGATGGAAATAATATTGGCCTTCGCAAATAGTTAAGTCATAGCCTCGGATCAATTTCGAAAACCTGCAAAAAAAGGGGGGGGAAGGGGAGGGGGGAAGAAGGGGTTTCTACTCTCAAATTCAAGCAAGTCCTACCCTGTCCCGTCGTTCTCTAGTGTAAAAAAAGAAATATTCTTTCATAACATCGAAAGGTCACTTACCATGAAGTCTGTAGCAATACACGAGTTGATTGTAGACAAATGGAGGCAGATCTTTTTTTGTGGATATTTCCTTTACCCTTTCAAAGTACTCCAGCGTTTCTGAAAGAGCATACATTGAACATTTTCCTCATCAAATGGAATCTGTTCTCATAGATATTTCAGAAGGCAATAAGCTTTTATAGGCCCCACAACAAAAATGGCTCGTTACCCTAGAATAACTGCTTTCAAATCCAACCCTCAATCGATATATTTATTAATTCATTTCCTTTCTTTATTTACTTATTCACGATATTTAGACACGCTAACCCAGCCCAGCTTTAACATTGGTTTAAATGGTGGCTTTTATAAACAATGACAAGGCCAGACCACAACACCGGTAGCTACACCTTTCTAGAAGTGCGTGGGTTCTTTAACGTCAAAATGAAGGAGACGTGGCTTGAACCCTCGACCTTCCGCCCAAGTAAACATGTGCCAAAAACGATTTGAATGTGAATGCAAATACGGGGTCCAACAGAAACGGTAAAGACAGCAGAGAACTTGTCAGCGACCATCATACAGTGTACATGAAGGCCACTGTGGTATCATAAATTACCCGTTACACTCTAAGAATTGCAAAACTGTCTAATTGCATAAGTATTCAATAAAAAAAAAATTGCTGGTTTTTGTAGAGGAAAGGAAAACCGGACAGGTAAAGGCTTGATAGCGCTTCAGGCTTAAAAAGTAACCAGTTGCAGAAGACATTTAAGAAATGGTTCAGGCTCTGGAGTCAGACCCAGTGCCCCTCTGCAATGTCAACTGTTGAAAGAGCAATCGACCACCGCTTTCACACATTTTAAATGTACGCTCACAAGTAAAAGGCTTACTTTTCACATCTCCGCGTTCTGCATATGCTTTCATAAATTCATTTGTAACAAGGAACACGGGGTACCCCTCACCATGAATACTGTCAGAGACAAAAAAAGAAGGAAAAAAAACAGAGCATGCCACAAAGGAACATCTCAGATTAAGGGCGAACTCAACTGTAGTTCTAAAATTTTACAACGTGATCATTTATCACCACCAACAATCTGAGCCCTAAGAGGACAATGGAAAAACAGCGGTCAGACGTCTGCACATGCGCGAACCTTCTAATGCCTAGGTGGCGTCCTTACAGGCTGTCAGAGCCAAGTTTTCTCCCAAGAGTTGCAAACAACCACACACACAAGGGAGTCAGTGTGTTTTGGAAGCGTACAACTGTTGGTAAAGCTCAGAACAAAACAGTACATCAACAGGATACCTGCACTTTAGTAAACTCTGTGTTCAAATCATCACGAGTTTTCCCTTTCCTTACTAATTTTTTCCTATAACAGATTTCTATGAACGTTTCAATTATCTTTCGCCTACTTTTCCGAACAGCGGTAATTCCTTATGTTTTCCTTTTAAATTCTGCGCTGGAAATTGGCGCGCGCATGCCCGACGTTCGACCACTGTGCTCTATAAACTGACGGAGAGGGATGCACGAGATTGTTATACAAACCAGAGAGCAACGTAAAGCAAAACGAATATAACCCTGAGTTACTTTTGACACCAAATTACAACTGAATTACTCAGCAAGATTCTTACTGGACACTTCAGTTTACGTACGATTTGATTTCCTCTGCTTGCTCTACATCACCCGATCTCAGGAAAGCGGTGTAAACAACACCCTTGGCAAACTTCGTCAATCTACATGAAGTGAGAGAGGGGAACAAAAAGAAAACCTTACTAGATTATACACGCATTTTGATTGCTTCTCACTGATGATTTATTGAAGCGTAGAAGCACAGATGACTTCAACATTAACATTTTGCCTTTTTTCATCTTATAACACAGATTAGTTCCATGTTACCGTGGGTCTGCACAGTAGTAAGAACACAGATAACGTCACAGTTTGGTAAGAACATTGTTCAAACTTGGCTATGCTTGGCGTGCAACTTTTGTTCTCCCACTATTTTGATGTCATCTGTGATCTACTGACGTAATCTGTGATCTACTGACGTAATATGTGATCCACTGACGTCATCTGTGATTCCACTGATGATGAAATCTATTGTTAAACTCATTTATAGATATATATATATTTTTGAATAATTGGTTGGTTACCGATAAAATGAGCAAGTGTCACTACGCTACATGTATTTTAGGTCAGAAATGAGCCTTGAAGAATCAAGGGGCTATTTTTGTATTAAACATAAGATGCATGAGGCTTGCATTATAACACCTTTCAGCAGATGTTCCCGAAAAGTGATACTGAGATCTTGAAAGAGAAAGAAAAAGACGGTGAACAGCGCCATACTGGGATTACATATACTCACTTCACCGCTTTGAAAGAGAGTTCCCCGTACAAATCCTTGATCTTCTTTATTGCTTTCTGCAAAAAAACAAAATAAATAAACATGATCACCTTATGCATACTAGATAAAAAAATTTAAAAAAGACCTAAAACAGCAGTTCAAAAGAAACAGTGTACTAAATAACAAAATAGGGTGTTAAAATATAATTTGTCAGAGCTAGGAAGGGCTAACGCTCGAAACGTCTGCCTGAGAAAATCTCTACGGAGATGGTCAGTGCGCGAAGTCTTGAGTTTTCTATTTCCTCGCTTAAGAATGATTTGTGAGAAATTTTCAATTTTCTCTCATATTTTGTGTGACATCGGTTGTTTCTTTGTTTCCCTTTAAAATTTTGCACGGGAAATTGGCGCGGACTGGCTCAAATGGATCCCCTTGTGCATTCCCGGTGTTTCGTGCACAAGTGGTCTAATACTACTAAGCGTAGTGCCACTCCTCTTGGACATGACTATGCATCCCACTCTCGCCTTTACGGTACCAACAACAAATTTCAAAATAAACTTTTTTCAAACCTCGTCTGTTAATCCTCCGCGTATGCCTTTATCGGGACATCTGCCATAAGCCTCAATCAACCGACAGTAATCAAGACCGCTTGGCTCAGTTTCTTCCTAACAACAAATAGAACATTCAAGAAAGCTGTAAGGAACGTGGATATGGAAACTTTGGTGCTGCGTCGGTGGGGTAGAAAAAAATCAATATGGTTTTATCAACTGATTTGATAAAGCTGAAGTTTCGAGCATTAGCTTTACTTGAAGCGTCAGCTATAGAAACTCTCTACAGTGGGCAGTTTACATCTCCAACTCGGTTGGGGAAAAAATCAGAACACACAATCGAACTTCTGATAGTTTCCTAAAATCTTTCTGCAGGAGAGCATTTTTACTACACATTGTCCATAATGAAGCCTGTTTGAACATCCTTGATACAAACAAAAGGTATTTTTACATAAGGCTACAGTCGAAAATACCTTGCACTCTCAGTATTTCGTAAAACTGAATTCGAGTACTTCATTAAAAGTAACACATTGACAAAGCTTACTACCAAGAAACCAACTCATGTTTCATACCTTGAGCTTATCGAAGCAAAATTGTGCTGCCTCTGCTTTTCCATCAAAAGCCATAATCTACACATGTCAAATAAGAAAGTTACATCCTCTTTGAGTTATTTAAGAGGCTCAAAAGCCGCCGATGTTCTGTTCACAGTTTTACAGTTCTGTTTATTCTATACAACAGAAATGGCCTAAAATAAAAATCGCGGAATAACATCTGGCCCACAAACACCCTCTAATTGTTGGAAATGCAGCACAAGCGTATCTTCGCCTACGAGAAAGTTTAAGACCTTGCGCGAATGACCACTCTGTCCTCAAGGCCTCAATTTTTACAAGGTTTCTTCCTGGGGCTTATTTCCTTATTTCATCACTGAGCTCAAATGTTATCATCTTTCTTATTCTATCAACGCAACAAACGTTTCTCATCAATCTTGCCGCTGTACTTTCTACATTTACACTGAATCAGAGTGTTTGATTTTTCTCGTCGCTTACCCGTAACATCGGCCTGTACTGATGAAAAGTGAGTGGTACCTCGTACTCCTTCATAACTCGTAGAAGCTGAATGGAAAAAAGAAAAACCAACATCATGTTATTGCTGTTGAATTATCATCAGAAACTCCTGGACTGGCTTCCATTTAACGGTTCATGAGATTCATTACAGTTGTACACGGGCGCACTATGGTACACGGCCAATCAGAGACGAGTATTTTGTACCACATAGTACAAATGAACCAATCATCCGCCCTTAAACCTCGAAAAGTACTTACTTCATAAAATTCCTGAGACAATTTGAATTCCGCCAACTGTTGCATCAGCAGTGTATAAGTCTGAGATTCCAGATGATGAGACAGACCCTACCAAGAAAAGGCAGTGTACAGTGAGTAAATTCATTCTAAACCTTGGTAAATGAAAAATTAAACTGAAAAAAAAAATGTAGTATTCTATGTCTAATGAGATGAATTGCGAATGCAGTTAGATTGCTTCTCATTCATGATCTATTGAAAACAAATGCATAGATGACGACTCCATTAAAAATTTTTATTGTTCTATGACATAAAACACTTAAATTCCATGTTACCACGAGTCTGAGTAGAAATAATCAATGAAGACGTCAAAATGTGTTGACTTCATCTGTCGTCTATTGCTGAACAGATGAAAGGCAACATGGAATCTATTCAGCGGTTGTTTCTTACGTTTTTCTTTGAAATTTTGCGCAGGAAATTGGCGCACGGCCGACCAGAATTCATCCCTGTGCGCCTGCCTGGCGTTTTACCGCTGTGTTATGAAACCCTACTGAATGACCACTCTGGTGAGAGCTCCTGGGCAATACTTTGCTGTTCTACTATTCAATTTGCTTAACAAGGTAAAAAGTGTAAGTCTGTGGCTGACAAAGTAAGACTTTAAAAAAAAAAAACCACATGACACAGCTGTTCCAGCCATTATATCATAACTAAACTTTAATTTAACTTACAGCTTCTAAAATAAGTTTCACAAAAGTTGCATCTTCCACGGCTGAATCAGGGTCTGTTTGCCTTAATCTTTCCAAGATCCTTTTCGCTGAAATCAGTATAAAGAAAACTTACGGTTTATAACAAGTTCATCATTAAACATGGCTAAAAGTTGGGGTGATATGAGGAATACAGCGCTCAAAGGTAAGTTGACAATCTCGACTCGATACTCGATCCTCGATCCTCGATCCTCGATCCTCGATCCTCGATCCTCGAAGCTATCACGAATCGTGGACCGAGAACCGAGGATCGAGAATCGAGGTTCAAGAATCGAGTATCGAGTATCGGGTATCGAGGATCGAAGATCGAGAATTAAGGATCGAGACGATCGAATAACTTTAAATTATTACAACGATTTAATTATCACACGCAAAACAATAGCAAAGGACAAAGCACTTGACACGCAGCTATTGTTTAAACAAAGACATCGCAGACATGAAAATATTTTCAAATTATTTCTTGAACTCTACGAAAAAAGCTACAAAATTTTCACTAATTTAACTAAAATAATTCAAAAGTTTAACTTACTTGCTGTAATATCCTTTTTGTCAAGCATCTCAAGAATCTAAGAAAAGGAAAGTTTAAGAGTAAAGGATTGTAGTAATTCAATAAAATGTCAGTGTAGCAAAAAGATTAGATCCTCGTCAGCTCTGTTGAAAAGCTTCACAAAACCTTCTTGGGACCTGGCATGGTTAAAGTTCAATTGCTTTTGCTCAACACTGATTTTCTGAGTGAAAAAAAAATGTAGATAAAGAGCCTTTTGTCTGAACGGTAAAAACCTGAACCAAAGAAATCACAAGGGCCAATCAGAAGAGCATTTGCCAGCTCTGATTAGACAGTTTTAATTTAAATTATTTGCTTCAATTACTGCAAGAGGAATTAAGGAATCCACTGCCATTCCAGATTTCATTAAGAATACAATTTTCCAAAGTAACCATACAGTATAGCAATATCACTTATTTTTTACCTTCACTGCTTCTTTAGGATCAAATGCTCTAGACAAGGCAAAAGTAAAAATATACAAAAATATAATGAATAAAAAACAAATTAAAGATAATGTAACATTTAAGTTAAGTGAGAAAAGAGTGAACATTTGTATGTAGGCGGCATCAAAGTACACGACTAGCATTGTGTAAAACCGGACAAACACTCAGGGTCTTCAAAGAACTGAAGAGAATGTGCTGCCTTGTGCTGACATCTGCAAATGGTTAGACATTCTAGTCTTCTTGTTTAAGGACAATAAACCATAAGCTCCGTCTCCTAGATCTTCTATGTACTGGTTAGCAGGCGATGTTAAAGAACCCACCCACCTCTCCCAAAGAGCAGGGAACGTAGCTGTGGGTTCATGGTCTGGCTTTGTAAACCAGTTTTAACCCTTTAACCCCCAAGATCTCATTAGTTATTCTCCTTACTGTCTGCCATATAAATTTTATGATGTTTTTTTGGAGCATTTGGTATTGGATCAGCTAATAATAATCCCCTAATTGATTTTTTTTCTCCGTTCTCATCACATGACTGCTTAATATTGTAT